ACACAAAATCTTCTCCCTTCCGTCCTTGACTTCTTGCGGTCGGTGGACACCTTCACCTTGCAAACATCTCCACACCAACATGATGGGGTTTTCATATCTTTTTCCTTCATCTCGTCCAAATTGGCGTTCTCCCACTTGTTCGGCATGTCTTCACGGTCAGCACACGGCGGCCTCGTCAAGGAACCGGATGAAGCCATGCCTACAAAAATAAGAGTGGTTGTTAGTGAAAGATATCAACATAATAAATGGAGGAAATGAAATAAGAGTGATTACAAAAAACAACAAGTACCATTCATATTATTTCAACCATCCGGATTAAGCAAAACGTCAATAGGCCTTCCTCTATCGATCCTCCTCATCCTAGTAAGACCGGAAGCACGACCACCTCCACCGGCTCCTCTAAGACTCGCCCGTCCTCCACGCCCACCAATAGTAGTCCCACCTCATGCACTACCTCTAAGACTAGTCCGTCCTCCACGGCCACTAGTCCTACCTCCTCATGTACCACCAAAACCTCCTCTATGAATACCTGTTTGGCTGGATCTCGTGTTGGCATCGATCCTTGGTTTTTTGGTGCATCTCCTAACATTGTGTCCCGGATCGTCACATTGTCCACATTTGTTGATGTCTGGTGGCTCCATGAAATGATCGCTACCAAATTGTTTCATTCCGGTGTATCCAGCTAGATCATCCATGTCACTCCTAAACCTCTTCTTTCTTCTTCTTCCCTTTGTAGGCACCATGAGTTCAGGGTCAGGCATGATATGTGGGCCATCATACTCAGGCCACTGTGATTGGTCAAGGAAAGGATGAAATCGAGGCGCCCATGTCAACCTCGTGGCTTCCAATGTGAACTCCTACAACCGCACGGTCCTCCCATCAGAAACATGCAAGTTTCTCGCCTTGGCCGCCGTCATCAAATGCGAGCATGGCCAGTGGTACTTATGAGGCCTCTCACAGTGACAGCACCGGTTCTTGAGGTGCACCTCATACGCAACACCACCGTAAACCACACCGTCTCGTGTTGTGCCACCTGGCTCGTCCACTTGGTAGTTCATTTCTTTGTCGTTGAATCTAATGATTTGTTGATGCGAGGACTTGCCTGCTTGAAACCTCAACCAATCATCAACCTTGCCAGGATACTCTTTTTTCTCACCTATCCATTTGGCGGTGGTTTGGGAATGCCTAAGAAAATACTCATTTATCTTGAAGAAGGTGTATTTCGGTATTGCAGTCACCGGCAAAGAACGGACGCCCTTAAGCACATTGTTGAAGCATTCAACCATGTTGCTCGTTATGTCACTGTATCTCCAACCTCCTTCATCATAAGCGTGTGACCACTTATGCTTCTCCCCATAATTCCTTTCCAAGAATGTTCTTCCCCCTTTGTTCTTTGCCAAAGCCTTGAAGAGTTTATCATACCGGATTTTGAATGCATCGATGGTGAATGCCACACAAACATGGGTAAGGTCTTTGCAAAACTCCTTGCTCTTGCATGCCCGGTAAAAGTTTGCCACGAAATGCCTCATATGCACCATCGGTGATGAAGCTTTGGAAGGCCGGGAATGACAACTTCTATGGCCTTGAGAATGCCATGGTGTCGGTCCGATATGATGCATACACCCCTCTTCCCAATCACCTTGGTCCTCACATGCCCCATGAACCACTCCCAATTGTCGTCATGCTCGGAATGAACTAAAGCAAAGGCCACCGGCAACACGTTATCATTGGACGAATGAGCCATTGCCACGATTAGTGTCCCCTTGTATTTGTTGGTCAAGAAAGTGCCATCTATAGACAACACCGACGACAATGCTTAAATGCCTTAGTGCATTGCCCAAAACTCTAGAAGGCACGATGAAACACTCTATCAATGTCCTCAACCCCATGTCGCATGTCTGGGTTCTTATGTGCAATGGCTCCCAACATCCTCGAAAGAATATTGTATGCGGCCGCATAATCACCATGCAACATCCTAATAGTATTTGCCTTGGCCTTCCATACCTTCCCATAATTGACCTTGTATCCGTACATTTTTTCAACAATACTCATCAGAAACATCACCTTCACGGTTGAGTCATGGGATATCTCATTCAATAATTTGTAGCCGAGAAACTCTGACATGAGTTGACAGTGGCCCTTGCTTCGGTCAGCTTTGTCTGGCGATATGCACTCGTGAGTAGCTACACAACTTTTCAACTCCCCTTGCCCCATTTCATGAATTTTGCTTCCACGAACCTTCCATGGGCAACCTTGTTTGTCACACTTCACGGTGTAACGCACCTCTTGGTTCGAATGACCAACAACAAATGGCCTATGGTTTCGAATGGCGTAGTCACTCAACCACATCTTAAACTCTTGGAAGCATCCAAACTTGATGCCTTTTTCAAATGAGCATTCTCGTCCTCACCCTTCGGCCTTGGATCGCCGACTCTCAGGCACAGTGTTCGTTCAACCAACCCCAGTCTCATGCCACCATCAACAATGGCATGGTCGGCAAGGCTAAGATCACGAAACAATGGGGTTCCTCTTTCCTTGTCGTGCACCTCCTTGAAGAATTGATTTTCTTGCACCGTGAATCCATCCTCGTCCAACTCTTCCTCAGGACCCTCGTCATCCGAGCCATAACCACACATACGGTTATAAGGGAGACTACGATCCATGTCTTGTTGATGGACAATGACATCCAAGTTACCTATTGGATTGTAATGAATCTCTTCTTCTTCCGCATAAGCATCATCTTCATCATGACCAATATCGTCATCATCAACATGAGCCATAGCATGAATCTTCGGGTCTTGATTATGGATCTATCATTCATCTCCGCTTCATTTGATTGACTACTTGGTGGTTGGCTATAAGAATTGGGGACATACACCTCGACCCTAGCATCATTTATTGGGGAGGAGGCATGCCGGTTCAAGTAAATTTGTAGCAGAGGAGCATCAACCTTGGTGGCAAATAATCCAAGTGAGTTGTCTTCTAATTGCTCTACTTTACCCTTGTACACCTTCCAATGCAATTTCGAGGTGATAGGCATACTCTTCAACCAAGACTTCACCCCCACTCCAACATCATACCTTCCAATGAGTTTAATCTCATCATGTGGGTCCATCCAATGTAACACACTTCTAACTTTCACAACTACATCCTCATCGGTTGGGCTATACTCGAATACCAAGTATTCTTCCCCTTCATCGTCATTGCCATTCATAAATGTCTCCTTATCCAAATAATGAAGATTCACGAGACTACCCATCCAAATAAATTTTAGAAAATGTCAACGATAGGCGGCAACATAATCTATATACCTACTATTAAAGGGAATAGGTATTCTTGGTTTGGTTTAGTCCTTTTCGTTTGGTTTACATACGCTAAGCAATCTGGCCCAGGTACTTGTATGTTGATGGGCCTTTTATGGGCTTTCATAGAGACCACGAGAAATAATTGGGTCAAAATAAATCAACATTGTGGGGATTCTCAAAAAAAATCAACATTGTGGGAATTGAACACATAACCTCCTGTGTAGCTCTTCGACATAACAACTAACGACCTATGCACTCACATTTATTACTCCCAACTCGCTCTAAATATACGAGTGACAATCATCATATTCAGGACGAGCTAATTAAGCGAATGAGCTAATAAAAGATGTGGGTTTAAATAGAATATTTAAACGGATGTGACTAATTAAAGAAAGGATTATGGGTAAACCGGGGGAATAACTAAAAGAAAGATTAACGTATTTTTTTATGTTCATTTTGTAGAAGGATGATGCGTTGCAGGATATTCTTTGAATCCGGTGCTATGGGACATTATGCTTGCACAAAACATCAATTTTTCCCGTTGCAACGCATGGGCATATGTGCTAGTATAGGTCAATATCCATTATGCATCCCATGGATCGATAGAAGTTCTATGTGATACATTTAAGCAACAAAACAAATAACAACTAAAGAACAAAATATCATGGCTTAACCCTAACAACTAAATAATGACTTTTCTTAACACTAACCCTAACCCTAGAAATAACCCAAACAATAACCATAGATCTAGCTACAAACAACAAAGTTAGCACACTACACATGGTCAATCACACATATACAACCCTAGATCTAGATCTACCATCCATCAAATCCATTGATTTCACACAAAAAGAAGCACAACTAGGGTTTGCATAAAAGTAATCAATGCCATCAAATAAGTTGATTCCAACCAACCAAAAAGAAGAGAGTGAGTGAGGTACCTTGAGTGATGAAAATTGCCTCAATCCACTGGAGAAAACTCAAGCAATGAAGATGAATTTGATGGAGCCGTAGGATGGGGGACAGAGGGGTGAGAGTGGCTGAGGTCGGGGAAGAAAGGATTTGGGGACGAATGGGTGGCTTGTGGGGCCCACCAAACCCCAGCCATTGGTTTTGTCATTCAGCACCCTACCGCCACTGTCTTTGGCGGTAGGCTGCCTAACCCTACCATCACAGTCTGTGGCGGTAGCCACGCCGTCGATGTTGACCCAGTCCCTACCGCCAGCGCCTCGGAAAAAATTCCGCACAGGGGTCAAGGGCCACGTGCGCGCGAAGCAGCCTCACTCCAGACCAGGTAGCGCCTGGAAATAGTGGCCGCGCAAAGCGGCGCCCGTTCGTTTCCATGGACTTTGAAGAATTTGGGCAAAAACAAAGACTCCCTTGCATGCAACAAGGTCTCTTTAGGTTAGCTTGCGTGGGTCACCTTAACCGCAACCTCTTGTAACACCCAGATTTTGTATGTGTTTGCTCCTTTTTAATAATATCGGCAACAAATTGCGAGTTACTCCAAAAAAAAAGTAGCACATCACACACCATAACACCACAGCCGGTGATTGATTGGGTTGATTTTTCTATCAAAGTATAGAACACTCACATATTCAAATCAGCCAAAGCTGCAAATAACTAGCAGATTATACAGTTATATCGTTTCTTGTCAATGTATAACTTAAATAATATAAGCAAATGGGTAGCGCATCACACACCACCGCCCGAAATTAGTAAGCGCCTAGATGGTACAACATATTTCGCCGTCCTTCTCTGGCCATCAAAGTCTTCATCAGTATCTTCCTTGCCTCTTGCTGAATCCGGATCATAAAGCATCTAAAAAGAAACAAATATGTGAGAAGAATAACACTTCAGTAACAGCACGTTAATTAATAATAATACAACTAAATGCACAAGATGTGGTGGCACTACCTTGCATTCAAGCCTCACCCTATCCTCTTGTGCTTTCAGCTCATCTTCGTTATATATAGCAGTCCACTCTGACATACTGGTTAGAAGATCTGCATTGATGAAACCCATGCATGGCAAAGGTGTGTTCGGATCACCATGCCTGTAGTTTTCATCACTGGGATGTTTCATATCAACACGCCCAGTACAGGTACAACCATAGCATTGACCTACAAAAGGACGGGCTACGTGAGAATTAGGGTCATGCAAATTAATCTTCATCATATCCTTATAAAGCAATTTACAGAAAGTCGTAAAAATTAGAGTCATGAGCAGGAGCAACTTAAGAGTGTCACAAGCAGTCATTCAACTATCATTTTTTCTTCGCAACCCCAAATTTTAAAGTGCCGCTTCATGTGAAAAGTACCAGTACTAGCACATAAAGCAAATACGGTCATTTCAAATATTTTCAGACTCAAAGCATGCGTTTTGAACATTCAAACATTCGCCTAAGTACCTAAATGAACTGGTCAAATCGAATCGAATTCATATGAATTACGGAATTCAAAACTTGGATTAAAAAAATAAAGGAATCAAGTAATTCAAGGATAAGAAAACATTTGGTTTGGCTCCTAACTTAAATTAAACGTTTAAATCTTCCTAAAAACTGATGAATTTAGGGTATAAAAAATCCATGCCACTAGTTCAAACTAAGATTCAAATACTAATTGTTTTGGAAATCAAAATATAATCTTCATAAAATCAAGAGACAATCAGTACAAGTATAACAGCAAACTGAAGTGCAAGTGCAATTATAATGGGATATAATATTTTAAAGGATATTTAAGCACTTATTAAGAATCCTTTTTGAAAAGGCTAAAAATGGTATTTGTACCGTTAAAAAAATATTTTCCTCTCAAATATTTACCCAAGCCATATTTCATCCTTTTGAACCCCCCATATGAGTTTAACCACATTGTCATGTTCAAGATCTTGATCAAATGTTGAATAGTCTAGCCGCAGCTCAGATCGTGTCATGGCAGCGTTTTCGGTCGTTTGCCATGGCAGTGTGTTTTGACTGTCATGGAAGCAGTTCTAGGCTGCCATGGCAGCGTTTCCCGTTTCCTGTTTTTTCAGTTTCTGTTTGACATTGGCTCCAAGTTTAAAACAACTTGGAGCGAGTTTTATGTGTGGCACCATCTGTTTGTGGAATACCACGAACGTAGTGGATTGTGGGCTTGCACGTTGCTTGTAGCATGAATAAATAGATGAGAAAGGAAACAGAAAAGTCACAAGTTTTGTGCGCCGCACAACGGTTTTGCGACCGGCGGTTGTTCTTTGTGTCGCGGACACGGCTACCGCGGCTCCCCAAAGCACCGTCGCTGCTCTGCTGATGGTTGCGCACCTCCCATACCTCTTCTATGAGGAGAAGACCACCACCGCCGTCTCAAATCAAGTCCAGGCACTCCTCAACAACTCACAGGTGGTCGGTGACATCATCAATGGTGATGGTGTGCAGGTCCAGCAGCATCTCAATTGAGATCACCATTTGAACAAACTTGGTGGGAATGATGCGAAGGAATTTCTGCACGATCTTGTCACTGTGGGAGCGCAAGGAATTCGCCACGCCTGTGATGCGCATGGCAAAATCGTCAATCGACTCAGGTCCTGCCAGAGCCATTGTGCGCTTGCCTCACGCACGCGGTAGCTGCCGAGCGCAAGGAATAACTTACCCATTGTTCATATATATGTGGGACTTAGGTTCAACTATGGTAGTACTGATTAACCATGCAAGCTACTTAAAAGCATAGGAACTCGGTACGTAAAGACGAAGTCCAGAATCACTACTCATGGATGTGCGTTGTAAAGCTCACAAATTGTATGAATAAAAGTTAGCATAACCTTAAAGAAATAATACCATTATCATCAGACTGAAGCATGCAGATACGGCTGAGGGCGTAATCTTTGTGATCCTTACGTGTTACTTCAGCAAAGAAAAGATTGCCAAGATCATCATCATCCCCTTTAGTCTTTATCATCAAGTTGATATGATAATAAAACCTATATAGGGAACCTTTTGGCTCACGAATTGCTTTAGCTATAGGGAACCTTTTGGCTCACGAATTGCTTTAGCACATAGAATGTCTACGAGTTCATATGCAATATCCTGAAATTAGAAGCATTAATAGCATCAGCAGCTGTAGACCCTGCTTGGTGAGATTGAGGGCAGACAAGAAAAAAGGAGAGAGCAAACCTCTGACAGATTGTTATCATCATTGTACTTGTCCAGTAATGCTTTAAGCATCCATACTTCAGGCCTACGGCTCTTCTCAAAAGCTTGCGCTTCCAAAGTATTTCTCCTTATGCCATCAGGCCAGTAAAGGGCACGGCGTACTTTCCTTTCAATCATGGAAAGCCCATCCATGCACCTGAAGTATATGGTTAGTAAATTTGTTTATTTTTTAGCTGGAGAATGCTACATACTATTTTAGCGTTATAAGAAAAACATATGATTACCAAAATGACACTATTTTTACCAGTTATATGAATCCTATTATTCTGGCTATCAGCGTACTTATCAGAAGAAAAGGAGCATACGTGGACGAGACACACTAAATGCTACCCAATTGAACAAGTAGCAAGTCGAGTAAAAAAATATACTTACAAATAACATGATAGCATAGCATCAATACATAAACTTCACTGATATTTCATATATGCTTATGATTTATGCACCACTCCAGAAATTCAGAGATAAAAAAATGATTCGGACTGCATAACATATTTGAATATAATCAACTGAAAATATGAAGAAATGTAATAGAGATCTAGCTCAGGAAGTTTACATCATTTCACACTGTTTAGCATGCTCAGAGTTGATAGCATCTTGGACCTCCTGTAAGCTCTGAAATGGCCCGGACAGAGTAGGATATGTGTGGAAAAAACCACACATATCAACTCTGACATAATATTTGATAGTCAGGCGAGTAGGGCTGAGTGCAAAGACGGGGCGTGATGGTGGGAATATTGCATCGGTACCACTCACTGTCTGGTCCGTGACCTCGCGCCTAAAGTAGAAAACAAGAGATACGTGATTCGTTGGAAAAAGGAATTATAGTTACTTTTTTCTCCATAACAGGATTCTTAGTTCTCGTACATTTTCAATTAAGAGCCTCTTGGATTCTTAGGATTGTAAAAACGCACGAATAGAAAAAACACAAGATTGGAATGTCATGCCCATTCAATCCTATAAAATTTGAGTTTGTTTGATTACATCACCAAAAAGTAAAGGATTTTTCAAGAGGTTTTGAGTGAATGCTAGATTTCCTATGGAACATAGTAAACTTATTCCTTAGGAAAAATTCCTACTCCCTCCATCCATATATATAGGGCCTAATGCATTTTTCGAGACTCCCTTTGACTATTGATAAGATTAGTAGTATATGAGATGTATGATGTGAAAATTATATTGTTGGAAGCTCCTATCACGTACGAATTTGATGGTATGCTTTGTGTAACTTGCATGTCATATATTATTTCTAACATTTGATCAAAGTTAGCTTCCAAAAACGCATTAGGCCTTATATATATGGTTAGAGGGAGTACATGATTCAACCATGCAAATCGAAAGACCAAAGTAAGAACAATTCGTAAGGATTCTAAGCCTCTAAAAAATCCTTTGAATCAAAGAGGCCCTAAGTAATTTATAGTGAATCATTAACCTTTCGTTTCACGGCTCAATATATTTTTCATACCATTCCTTATCATCATAGCAGATACATAAACAACGTACCGTTGAGGCAGCTGGGCTTTATCGAGTAATTCTTCAATGTATTGCGCACGGGACAGATGACGGTTCGTCGTCCGGAGGTCGGAGTCGACTTCGAGTCGTGGCGGCCCACCTTCCGATCCGTCACGGGGCCTCGTCCGGGGGTCGGGGTCGACTTCGAGTTGTCGCGACCCGCCTTCAGATCCGTCAGGGCGGCGTCCGGTCGGCATGACAGGCGGCGGGTAGGTGTTTCTTTGCACGGGAGCGAAGGGAGCGGAGGGAGCCGGGTGGTGGCGGCGGTGTGCGGGCGTCCGGAGGTTGGAGTCGACCTCGACTCGTGGCTGCCCGCCTTCAAATCCGTCGCGGGGCCTCGTCCAGCGGTCGGAGTCGACTTCGCCTTCAAATCCGTGTCCATCGGAGCGGCGGTATCCGGGCGGTATGGGAGACGGCGGAGGCGGCGGGTAGGTGGTGGGAGCCGAGTGGTGGTCGTAGCGGCGGCGACGGCCTGGCGGCAAGCGGGGCGGCACGCGCGGCGGCATGAGGGGCAAGGGCGGGGGCGGCGGCGACGTTAGGGCTTCGATTTTTCCTTTTCTTGGACGGAGTTTCTGAAAAAAAAAATCGTAGTCCATCATCATGGCTAGCTTTACAGGACGCGTTTGGTAGCCCGTTTAGAGGCCAACCAGGCCCGTATGAAATCAAACTGGGCTATTTGACTCTTCGCATATAATATTTGGCACGCATCAGACGAAGATTAGAGCACCTGTTAGTTAGGCCCGTCAGAAACGGCCGAATCAACAGTTTCTAGCGAGGCAGACTTGGTCGAGCCAGGGAGGAAAATGCGGCGCTGAGCTCGTGCGACCATAGAGATGGAGCGAGCTCGCGCGCGTGTCGGAAAAACCAATGGGAGGATTTCGACTCACCTCTCGTTGATTCGGTCGCCTTATACCCTTCGCCTCACCGCTGAAACTCCCGCCGTCCTTCTCCCGCCTTTCGAGCTCTCCCGTCGACGCGCATCAGCATCAACGAGCAGGTAGTGTTGGGGAACGAAGCACGAAAATAAAAATAAAAATCTACGAAACACCCAAGATCCAATCTAAGAGATGCATGCATAGCTACGAGAGGGGAGTGTGTCTACATACCCTTGTAGACCGAAAGTGAAAGCATATATAACATGATTGATGAAGTCGTACTCTTCGCGATTCAATCACGATCCAAACCGATCTAGCACCGAACGGACGACACCTTCGAGTTTAACACACGTGCGACTCGGCAACATCTCCTCCTCCTTGTGATACAACAAGAGAAGTATGAGAAGTAGATGGGATCTCAACCAGCACGATGGCGCGATGGAGTTACTCCGGCGGGTCTTCGCGAGAGAATATGATGGTGGGAACGGGGAGGGGCTACGCCAGGGTTTTAGGGTGCGGCTCCCCTCCTCTCCCTCCACTATATATTGGGGAAAGGGCAGGTGGGACGCAACCCTTAGCCCCTCCTCCAAGGCGGGGCGCGACCAAGGGGAGGAGGAGTCCTTATCCCGTATGATAGATGGGACTCATTCCTTCCCCTTCAGGGACTCTTACCCCAAAGCCACATGGACTCTAGGGGGCTAGTGTGCCTTGCCCATCTAGGCCAGGGCGCCTCCTCGCCCCATGGTGGCCCTGGGGGTGGTGGGACCCACTGGTGGTCCCCCGATACGATGTCGGTATTCCTCCGAACTTTTTTGGTACCCTAAAAATGACTTCCTATATATTGTAACCCACAAGTATAGGGGATCAATTGTAGTTTTTCGATAAATAAGAGTGTCGAACCCAACGAGGAGCTAAAGGTAGGATTTATATTCCTTTCAAATTCTATCGACCACCAGTACAACTCTACGCACTTAACGTTCCCTTTACCTAGAACAAGTATGAAACTATTTTGTAAATGTAAGGATAAGTTTGCAAGAATAAAACTAGATGTACTTAGAGAGAACAAAACTACGAGTAATTTGCAAGATAATATAAGTTAATTGTTTAGTAGAAAGCTTTTGTAACACAAGAGAAGGATTTGTCCCTAGGCAATCGATAACTAGACTGGTAATCGTTATTGCAATTTTATATGAGGGAGAGACATGAGCTAACATACTTTCCGTACTTGGATCATATGCTCTTATGATTGGAACCCTAGCAAGCATCTGCAACTACAAAAAGATCATTAGGGTAAAACCCAACCATAACATTAAGTACCAAGTCCTCTTTACTCCCATACGCAACAACCCCCTTACTAGGGTGTAAGTTTCTGTCACTCTCGCCACCCACCATAAGTGAATTATAAACGTATTGCAACACCCTACGGCGGTAATCCCACACTCTTGCGCGACACGGAGGACACCATAGGACAGCACCAAAATAAAACATACAACTCAAACCAATCACGATCATCAATCAATCCATAGGACAAAACAAATCTACTCAAACATCATAGGATGGCAACACATCATTCTATAACAATATGTGGCATAAATTGTTGGAGAACGTAGCATGCAATTTCAAAAAAATTCCTACAATCACGCAAGATCCATCTAGGAGATGCATAGCAACGAGAGGGGGAGAGTGTGTCCACGTACCCTCGTAGACCGAAAGCGGAAGCGTTAGTTTAACGTGGTTGATGTAGTCGAACGTCTTCTCGATTCAACCGATCAAGCACCGAACGTACGACACCTCCGAGTTCTGCACACGTTCAGCTCGATGATGTCCCTCGAACTCTTGATCCAGCAAAGTGTCGAGGGAGAGTTCTGCAAGCACGATGGCGTGGTGACGGTGATGGTGATGTGATCCGCGCAGGGCTTCGCCTAAGCACTACGACAATATGACTGGAGGAGTAAACGGTGGAGGGGCACCGCACACGGCTGAGAAACAATTGATGTGCCTTGGGGTGCCCCCTGCACCCATATATAAAGGAGGAGAGGGGAGGAGGCCGGCCCTAGGGGGCATGCCAAGTGGGGGGGAACCCACTAGGACTCCTAGTTCTAGTCACCCCCCTCCTTCTTTCGGAGGGAAAAGGGGAAAGGAGAGGGAGAGGGAGAAGGAAAGGGGGGTCGCGCCCCCTCCCCTTGTCCAATTCGGACTCCCCATGGGGGAGGCGCGCGCCACCCCTTATGGGTTGCCCTATCTCTCCCCTATGGCCCATGTGGCTCATTACTTTCCCCGGGGGGTTCCGGTAACCCCTCGGTACTCCGATTAATATCCGAAACACTCTGAACCATTCCAGTGTCTGAATACTATCGTCCAA